TCTCGGGCTGGAACTGGCTGCCGCTGCTGTAAGTGTAACCATGGCAACAGCGGCGAGCTCTCTGGCTCCGCAGTGATGTAATCTTTTTGAGTGTGCGGGTTCCGCGTGGATGTGTCATGTGTGTGCCTACCCTCTTACAGTCAGCCAGCGACTTCTGCGTCTCCCCGGATACGTACGTCACCAGGGTAACCAAGGAGAACGATGTCATCAACCAAGGTATCCAGAACCAGTGGACTAAATTGCAAAAACAAAAAAATGTTTACCTGCACACACAGCGTGTCCTTTTGTCACGAGCTCTTCGTATCGCTGTATGTAGAGGCTTGATAATCGGACACAAATGTTGTATTACATAAGAAAAAAAACACATTCCCATTTCGCAACCTCCCCGTCACTGCTGGTCACTCGTGCTAATAATGAAGACCGAGGACATGACAGATGATTGGTCGAAGCGCTGACGATAGGCAGATCAACAACTTCAGTATTCACTCCGACGGTTGAATTCACCCTGACATGTTTGCGTCTTATATATATATATATATATATATATATATATATATATATATATATATATATATATATATATATATATATATATATATATATATATTAATAATAATAACAAAAGTATGTAGGTGAACATTCTAACTAAAAAGTAAAAATAAGTCTAGTCTTTTCTTCCATACATTACTTGTAATATAGCTAGTATGTTGTGTTGTGTTTGATTAAAAAATAATGCTGCACTACCTCTTGGGCTGCATCGTTATTTCGCATCTGGTGATGCATTCTGCAGCATTGTGAGGAAACGCACGTCTGCCTGCAGGATTGAAGAACAATCAGACTGAAGGTCGCATTAAATAAAAACACACCAACAGCATTCATTACGTTACCCCCCTTTTGTCCGCTGGTTGAACCGCGGGGGGGCTCTGCTCTGCGGGATGGGGGCTCTGTAACCCCCCCCACACACACACACACAGACACACACCCTCCAAACCTGAGCGGCGCAGCGCGCTCGTTGACGTTTTTCCTGCCGTTTGTGCTCGTGTTTCGCCCCTAAAACCCGGTACTAAGCGCGATGGCGGAGAGGTCGGCGGCCCGCTTCCCGGCATGGACGCCCGCTGACTGAAGGAGCTGCCTTTATGGATTGGAGCTCATCGCCGCCGCAGCAAATCTGGGGAGAGTCTGAGAGGTGAGGCGGCATTTTTTTTTTTTTTTTTATTGTTGTCGATTGTGTTTGGGGGTTTGACACCGCAGCGGAAGAACATCGCTCTCGATTCGGGGGATTTTTTTTTTTTTTTTAACAAAGCACCAGCCGGGTCGGTGAATAGAAATCCTGTCAGTGTTGTTGCACTGCGGTTGTTTCCCATCTCCAGTTGTGTTCCTTGTTCTGTCATAGAGCATGTGTGCGTCCTCGATGGCCCTCTGCGTGCTCTGTGGGTCGCTGGATGCTGCTATTGAGGCCACTGGCGATATGAATTCAAACTTGGATGTCTGTATGTTTGGTGTCCTTAATGCACTCATGATAATATAATGAATGCATAAAGGACCTGCTTCTGGAGACTCATTTTGGCACAAATGGACTTGCATTGCATAAAGTACGCAAGGATTTAAAGGGCCTAAATGTGCATTTGGGCAACAGGGCCTGTGGGTCACCTGGGATACGCTTCATGTAGCAGGTCAAGGAGTAACAAATAAGATTACATGAATTGAATGCCCAATACAGTGACTATACGCATGTGTTTCAATAATCACGATGCACATACTGTATAAGCGTCAGACTTACTATTAATTCAGACTGTGATTGCAACCACCCCCCCCCCCCCCCCTCCTGTTCAAATTCTCCATGGACTACGTGGTAGTGAATGTAGGTTACTGCATCACCAAAACCCTCCCACATTCAGGAAGACCCACTATTATTATAAATGGACCATCCAACGGATATTTTCACAGTCCAAGCAGCAACTAAAACAGTAGTGCTATTGACACAGCGTGATGCAGCATGTAAACTATCCACGGGGTGAACCTGTAAACCCTCAGCATGCACCAACTGTCACATTTACTGACGGAGCAGCTGTTGTAGGAATGTACTCACAGAGACTGGGAGCGTTGGACGCGCCATGCCGTCCTGTCTGAGCAGCGGCGATGCTGTCGTGGCTTTGGTCAGCGTGCCCAGTGCTTTATTGTTGTTTACTTCCAGATTGAGGGAAGAATAATTCTACTGATGCAACAGTAAAGGTTTAGGTCGGTAGACATCAGGGAGGGCTAAGTGGCTGTGTTGAACTTTAACCCCTAGTGGCGCCTCCCGTCCCCACCTCTCCCTACTGGGACTCCCTGGTGACCCCCAATTCCATAAGGAGGTGCACATGGGATCGTGCCGTTCCAGTTAAAAGATTTTGAGTGCCATCTTTAGTTTATACATTTACACAGGTATGAAAATGATAAACAAGAGCTCTTGCCTTTGTGTATAATATTCACACCTGTATAAATGTTGTGATCCATATGTTGCTAATGTTTGTATAATTTATATTCTCGCCCTGTCTCTCTTATCTTTTTCGATCTGTGCGCAGTGCTGTGGAAGATCAGACTTCATCCAAGATCCCAGGTCACATGACAGGTACGTAGCTCTCATTTTAAAGGCTTTGTGTAAGATGAATTCCACAATAAGTAGTGATTAGAGGAATTGTGTCCCTCTGCTTAGATCTGTGTGGTGATGAAACAGACAACCCTCCTCCTCTTCAGCTTCACACCCTCAAGGAGTTTGAACAGGTAAGAGTCTCGGCTTGGTGTAAGTGAGTGTCCTTCAGCACGATGCTCTAGTGGTGTGTAATAATACCGTAAACACCGTGTGGCTTCTCGTCTTCCTGCAAGATGAAATAAGCAGATTCGCTTT